GCTCTCGGTCCTGTGGTCGGACGCCCCGAGGCGCCTGCTGCCCCGCGCCCGGGGGGAGTTTTAAAAGCGCCGACGAGCGCAGGCGTTGGGATGCGAGGCTGTCACTGGCAGACGGCGCTGCTCTGGGGGATCTGGCCAACGTGCCCTCTTCATTGATAATGCACACATGTGCTCACAAACCTGCCGGGATCGTCACAGTTGTGCTTTAGTTTTTTGGTTTTTAAAGAGACTTCGTGTTTCTCTTAATCCTGTCAGAAGAGCTGTTCCTGGCCCCCTCACTCTGTGTGTCGGCACCGATGCAGTCCCTCCTGCGCTGCGCTGGGTGCGCGTGTGTGTGTGTCGCAGGGTTGGCACCATGTGCGCAGGGAGAGATCAGATCTGGGCTTTTACTGGGAGCTGTGTGCTTCCCCCTTTTCCCCGCTTGCAATTGTGTAACGTCACTTAACCAGCTCAATGATTCTCTGTATGAGAGCGCACATTTGGTGCATACGTAAAGCGTTTGTAGCATCTATCAGCATCGCGCATAAGATGCATTAGCGCCCAGATACCCATGCTCTGGAGCACCACGCTCCTGAGTCAGCACAGAACTGTTGAGCTTCTCTCTTCATTCTTGCTGCTTATGCTCCGGCTCTCTGAATACCTAAACCTCTGTCATTCACACAGATCTTATAATTGCTGGAATTCACCTAGGATTTGTTTTTTGGAGAAGTGCTTAATTTTAAGTATGTGTCACAAGGTCTTTACCGCAAGAGGGTTCTACGTGGGCGTCATCTCTAGTGCGAATCAAATTCTGAAAGTCACATCTGCCCAAGGGCAAATTTAGAAATGTTCCTTCCACTTCCCTTACCAATGTTTTTCATCGTGGATGTTTGTTTTCTGTGTGGTCAGGGATCCTGCATGAGGCTCATACGGTTTCTCTGAAGTCACAGACTGTCATCTGTACATTCTTTGTTTCTTTGTGCCCATCTGCAGGAACTGGGATCCTGTCATCGCAGCCAGAAGAAAATCCCCACTGGTGGAATGCAAACATGGTGTAAGGAGGGACAAACAAGGGAAATAGGTTTATACTTAAACAGCATCTCCTGCCTTGTAGGCTAGCAAGAATGCTACAAAGACAGACTAAGACTAACACTTGTGAGAGGAAATTGTATGTTTCCTCATTTGTTCTAGTTCAGCTCTCTAACAAGTAGCGCTGGCACGGTCTGGAAAAACTTAAGTCCAATCTCCTTGGAGTTTGGGGTGATCTAATGAAGACAAACTGGGGATAGTGTAGGGAGCCTTCTCGAACACCTGAAGTGGCAAATACTGTTGTGAGCGGTGGGCTGGTAGTGTGTTACACGTTTGCCAGTTTGAGAGGAATGTGGAGCGGCTCTTCTAGCTCAAAGAAGAGAAACGAGAAAGACACCAGTTTATATATCCATCTATATAGGAGGGAAAAGCAGAAGAGAGGGATGCTAATTTGCGTTCTGCAAGCTGGAGACAAAAATGGGAAGGTAACTTCATTCCTGCAAAAACCTCCAGTGGCTGCAGTCAGCATTTACACTGCATTGACAAGGTCTTCTCATTTTTCGTGTGAAAAACTGAAGCACAGAGAGTTTCCCTGTGGCAGGATATCCACCGTATTAGTGGGACAGCTAAGAGCCAAATCTTGGCCCATCGTTCTGTCCACTGAGCTCAGTGCTTCAATTAGATTGATAAAAGACACAATATTTATTGATTTGACTCGGTAAAACTACCAGTGCTCATGAGAAAATTCAAGACAGTTATAATTGTCACTTGGCATGCAAGAAGGTAAGTTGTCAAACGGGACAAGAAACTCTTCCCTTTTCCCCTCTCCAGGGTTTAATTTTCTTCCAGTTACTTGACCCTGTCCTCACCCCTCCTCTCATGTCAAAGGAACATCAGTACTCACACAACTCTCTCTTACAGATTCATCCCTTATTGCTCAAGTGATGTTTGGAGCGGTGCCTCTTCCAAGTCTGAGAAAAGTGAGTGTTGCTGATGGGCTGTTGCTGCCCCAGACATCGCACATTAAAGGATATGGCCAGACTTCTGTGAAATTACGTGAATGAAGAACAGCCTTTTTCTTGCTGAAGGGCAGGAAAGAATATCAAGCTTCTTCCAGATAAAACATCCTGATCTCTTTAGCTCGAGCTGTTGTGACATAGTTGAGAGCCACTGCTTGCAGAGCTGTTACACTGGTGCAAGGATCAGAGGAACGAAATTCCTTTTAGATGAATCTCCAGGTTCCAGCACACAGCAAATTAAATGGTGTAGCTGAGGAACCATGGTTTGTGGCATGCGGCTTTGGCTTTGCTGATCTGAGGGGCAAGTGCAGTGAATTTGGTTTCAGACTTCTATCAGGAGGATATTTGGCCTTTGACAGGAGCCGTCGTGTCTCAGGCTAAAGCCATCCGCAGGTTTCTTTGGGAAACGAAGAGTAGTTCATCTTAAAATGTGCATTGCCATTGGCTGTCGTTCTGATGATGACGGAACTCTGGGATTCTGCTTAAAGGAATCCTCTTCCAAATTATGCTTGATTTTGTGCAAATGAATTGTTCTACCTGATATACTTCTCTGGGTTTCCCAACTCGGGCAGGACTGGTGTCTGGGTGCAGCAATGTCTATAGAAACACCAGGGGCTTAGTTCTCCTCTCGTTTGTTCATGAAGGGTTTTCTTTGACCAGAATGGACCTGCTGGTGGTGTACGCTGCTGTGAACAAAAGAATTTGGCCTAAGGTGCTCCGTGATGTGGCACTGAAAAGGCAGAAGGTTAATGCCTTTCTTTGAGTTGGTCAGTGAGTTCTGGCCTTAAACCAGATACGGTGTCAGTCCGTGGCTCTTCTCCCTCACTCTTACGTTGAGAAACTGGCCACTGGTGGGTACCAGAGGTACAGGTTTTGTCACAGTGAGGAACCTTTTCACTTCATCACAGCTTCTTATGACTGTTCCCTTGAAGCAGTTACATTTCAGCACACGTGGCTGCCTTTCGGTGGTGCCGAGGAGGCAGTGGTCTATGTAGGTGTAATGTTTTGGGAAACGTTGCTTGTCTGAATTGGCTTTATGAATTGGGGAAAAAAGGGATGCAGTTAAGTTGGAACTGGGATCCCGGGTGGCAGGAAGGCGTGCGTGCTCCTCGTATGCAGAGAAAGGGTCCCAGCGCCTTCCTGCTTTGCTCTTGTTTTTCTTCTCCAGGTGCTTACCAATTCCTAAGCGCTGTTGTAGGAAGGTGTGCTTGTGTTACTGTGTTCTGTTCACTCTCTGTTCAGTTTCTTTCAGGGAATCAAGTTTTGTACGGCGGGGGGAGTATCTCTTGTTGGATCTACTTGATAGAGGTGGAGAAAATGGGCTGGTTTTAGGTTCATGATCTCTTCATACAGTTCTTAAGCATTTGTGGAGAGGAAGCAAAAGTCTTAGCTTGGACAGGAAAGAGTTTTGTTGACACTGAGCTCTCTCTTCCAGATGAATATGCCTTCATGGGAGCACTGATCATTCAGGAGGTTATAAAGGAGCTGGTGGGAAAAGGTCTTAGCACTGCAAAAGTGTTGCTGCTAGCAGGGAGCAGGTAGGTATCTGCAAGATTTCCTGTGGTGAAGACGGGAGATTTCCACAGTAGAAAGCTGTTAGGGAAGAGGTCTCAGCAGATCCTGAAAACTTCCTTCTAGGAGTACAGTAACTCTAACACAGCAAACCCTGTATCTCTTCTCAGCTTTCTGCTTTGAGTGGTACAACAGGGGATGATATAATGTTATTTACTTGGCTTTTGGTCCAGGTATGCTTATGAGAAAATGGAGAAAATAACAACAAGGTAAAAGCTTTGCAAGAGGGAGGGAATGTGTTCATTTTTCCCTGCACCAAGAATGCTGGCTCCTGTTGGCCCGCACCATGGGACACATGCCTCTTGTGAATAGATTTGGGACGTCTGAATTATAAAATGAAACTTGCCTGACACAGGTGCTCTGGATCGTGCTCTGTTGCCGAAAGCTGCGGTGCACTCAGCATGTGTTGCACAGGGGTGTCTTAACAGAAGTTGCAGGGGGTGAATTTGTTTTACTTCAGATTCCTTTAGGTTTTGACCAGCCAAACCCCTTGCAAATGATGTAAAGCATGTAAGTCTCCCAGGAGAAAGAACAAGAACAGGATTTGGTTTCTGAGGTATCAGAGTGTTACTCAGCACTGGCTTTATTTCTGAGTGTTTTTCGCAAAGCAAGGAAATAATTGGTGACTGCCAAGTTAGTGGTGGATTCTCCTGTGGATAGGTGAAGTTGTTTATAGAGAGTCCCTGCTGTGAGAGGGTACGGGTGCTCGTCAGCCATTAATAGCTGTGTGCGCTGCGTGACTGCAGTGTTAACGTGTCCTTTGCAGTGCGGGAGGGACAGGAGTGCTCCTGAACGTGGACCGAGTGGCAGAGCAGCTGGAGGAGATGGGGTATCAGGGGATCCAGGTTCGAGGATTGGCAGACTCCGGATGGTTCCTGGATAACAAACAGTACCGCAGAACCGACTGTATTGACACCATAACGTGTGCTCCCACAGAAGCCATCAGAAGAGGAATAAGGTACAATCAGGTGCTCTAAAGTACAGTTTTATAAGAGGTTAGAGCGTGGAGATGTCCTCCTCCTTCTCTATCTTCCTTCATTTTGATACTCAAAGAGTATTTATCATCTACATCAGTGGGTTTTCCATGATTTTATTGGAAAAGACAGTAAGTTAAAGTCTAGCCATGCAAAAGAATGTGTGAAACTGTAGATGCTCTCAAATGTGTTTGTGGGACAGTGTAGCCAAGAAAGTGCTCTGCTGTCAGTAAGTTGGAACTGTAACCAGAGCTGAAATAGGCCAGGATATGAAAAGGCTGTTGTTAAGACAGCACTATGACTTTCATTCTATTACTGCTTTGTCTTCTAGGTATTGGAATGGTATTGTTCCCGAACGCTGTAAGCTGCAGTTTAAAGAGGGAGAGGAATGGAATTGCTTTTTTGGATATAAGATTTACCCCACTCTTCGATGTAAGTATCAGAGGAGAGACATAAAATGCACGCTAGGCTTTCCTCTGTATCCGTAGCTAACTTAGAGCAATTCCTTTTCCAATTTTTTTGTCCCCCTAGGCCCAGTCTTTGTTGTCCAGTGGCTCTTTGATGAGGCCCAGCTTACCGTGGACAATGTACACCTCACTGGCCAGCCTGTTCAGGAGGGGCAGTGGCTCTACATCCAGAACCTGGGTAGGGAGTTGAGAAACACCTTGAAGGATGTGACGTAAGTATTTCATTGAGGGAAACCTGGCACATTTATTTCTAAGAGACATTGTTATCTAGTATCCTAGCAGCTTTTCTCAGATCTCTGGAGAAATGGATGTTGTAAATTTGGTAGCTATGAGTTAGTCTACATGGAGAACCTTGCCTTTTTAATTTCTGGATAAGTGCAAGGTAATTTCCAGCTTCACAATTACCAGCTGCTCTTTGTTATCGATAGGAACATGTTTTTTTTCTTTCCTACCTCTAAGGTGAGGTCTGAGACTCCTTGCCATTGCACAGCCATTAACCTCACAGGGATGTTTTGGAAAGTACTGATCGTAAAACATGCAGATAGTGGATGAGGCAACAGAGGGGGAACCATTAATGTGCCTGACTCGGTTCATGCGTTCAGGAGTCTCTTGTTGCAAATGTGCAGTTAGGCAGGAGGGAGCCTCTTTTCTTCTGGATGCTTTCCAGTCCAGATATCATGATAGTCATTGCTTTTTCTAAAAATCTTGTCAGGGGAAGCAAAAATTCCACCCTCTACCTAGTCCGGAAGGTTCTATTTAGGAGGAGTTACTTTGTCCTTCCAAGACCTAATCCTTGTTTCCCTTTTTCCTTTAGCGCTAGCTTTGCTCCTGCCTGTTTGTCTCATGAGATCATTACGCGCAAGTGAGTGCTTTTGCAGATTCTATGAAAGGTCAACAGGGAACGGGTGGGGGAATGAAACAGTTCCGACAGCCCGGCCCCTCTGACGCAGTCTGCACGTTTGTCTTTTCAGTCACTGGACAGACATCCAGGTGAAGGGGACATCGTTACCCCGTGCTCTGCACTGTTGGGATCGGAGCCTACACGAGAGCAACAAAAATGGGAAGGCCCCTCTGAAAGGCTGCCCAATTCACCTGATTGACAGCTGTCCGTGGCCTCACTGCAACCCCTCGTGCCCCACTATCAGGGACCAGTTCACAGGGCAGGAGATGAATGTCATCCAGTTCCTCATGCACATGGGTTTTGATGTTCAGAAGATGGCACAGCAACAGGGCCTGGAGCCCAGTAAACTTCTGGGGATGCTCAGCAGTGGTAACTAGGAAGGGGGCTTCAGAGGGGCCGAGCGATTAGATCTGGAGGAGACTCCGAGCCCTTCTCCCACACTTCCTAATCTTCTTCTGTACGCTCATGCAGGCAGATGCACGCTCACACCCATGCATGCTCAAACCTGTACACACCCACGTGCTCCCACACTCTTGCACACCTAGGATGTGTCAAGAGGAAAAAAAAAAAAGGCAGTTTCTTGCTTACACTATTTGACTGGAACTCGTTTTCTCCAAACTCCACAGAGCTCATTTTTGGCCATTCACATCCTGTGTTACACAAGGCAATCTGATACAGGGAGCAGCAAAGCCGTAAATAGCAGCAGTGAGAACCTTCCCCAGATCTAGGACTTCTTCCCTTGCCATGAATTTCACATCATAGACTTGATACAAGTGGTGAAAAAAGCAAGCACTGGATTTCTTTTGTCCAACTAGAAGTGAAGGAACGATTATGACTTCCTGGAGGTCAGCATCTCATGATGAGTCACAGCATATAAACCCAGGACACGTGCTAGGGATGGACACTCTTGTACTCAATTTACTTTCGTATTATTTTATAAAATGACTTTTTTATTACTTTTTTTTAAACTAAGCAAGAAATATAAATGATATTGTTTTGTAACATATTTTTTTTAAATAACGAAGAAACCTCTTGCTACTTTGGCAACGTGGACATATTTATTTTAATATGTAAAACGCTATTTATAAGGGCTGACCAGAGAACCGTACATATGTCTTTGTAAAGTTGTATATGCTGCTCATTTGGATGGGTTATCCTTGTGATCACTTGTGCCTGGGAGAGGGCTGAGGGTGGTATTGACGTTTTGTAATAATTAGACTTCTGTGTTCCCCTTGCAGTATGCTTTGTCATTGTTGCTCTGATGAGAGGTTGTAATACGAGGTCTAAGTACAGAGATTTTCACCTGGCACCTGATGTTTGCATATCTGCACAGTGTTTTCAGCGTGACTGTGATCTGCCAGGTGTTCGGGGCCGTGCACGTTAAGATGCAGGGAGATGTGGTTTTGCAGCAAAGGCCTCTGTCCTGGTGAGAGAAGCGTTTGATCAGACCCACTGGCGTGTCTTAAAATGGGGAGTGTTTGGAACATAAAAGGCAGAGAACACAGGACAAGCACCGACATATTTTTGTTCTTCTAGTCGTTTGCAAACACGCCCACCGCAGAACACAGAGAATCCCCTTTGGTGGTAGTGGGAGGAGAACGTAGTGGTAGGAGGGATGAGGAATGCGTGACCGATGCTGGAGGGAGCGGGAGAGCCGTCCTCAGCGCGGAGCACACGATCAGCGGCAGAAGAGCACCGCGCTGTAGTGTGCTGCGGCTGCTGTAGACAGACCTGTGCAAGGAGCGTGATCTCATCCATTCCACAAAAGTCCTTGGTGCCGACTTTGCATTTGCTTGCACTGGTGTAAATGTTTATACAACATGTAGACCACAGAAAATTAGGGCCTAATTTTAGAAAAATTCCATGCACTTTCAAGATAGGTCTTGCCAGGTTAAAATGGTAATGCTACTTGTAAGATCCATTGTCCTAGGTGGGTAAAACCAAAAACAAACAAAACCGCAGCCGTTCGGTTACTTTTCATGGACTTCGGCAAACAGTCGGGCAGTGCCACCTAGGAGATTAGCCGTCCCGCTGTGCAAGATGGGTTTAGTACACATTTAAGATCAAAAAGTAGCTAAAGAGAAAGTGAACGGTGCTCCCAGCAGAACTGAAACGTAGGAAAACCATCAGTGGAATTTCCCTAAAATCAATCTAGGGATTACTAATATCCTTTATGTTTTAATGACTTGGGTATTAAAGTAAAATTGTTCTGATTACATTTTTCATGCCACTAAGTTAAGAGGCTTTTCAGTACAGACGACATTTGGAAAAGCATGCAGGAAGATGGGATTCCTTTGAGGGCTGGAGTCCGTGGAGTCGGTCAAAGCGCCAGTACTTGAGCAGTAGCCGGAATTTCTGCTGTGCACTGGGTCGTCCGTTGGGAGCACCAAGGGAAGCTGCTGCGTGCATTGCTTGTTTGCAGGATGACTACGCAAGATGATGCACCTGTAGGTACGGCAAGTGCCCTGGGCTGTGTCCAGTGATGTATTTCTAGGAAACAGTTAAGTATAAAGGCCACTGTTGGAGTTTGGAATACTTTTTGCAGAGCTGCTTGTGTGTATGCAGGTAAATTAAATCTACAACATTAATTCAAAGGTTAATTTCTAAAAGGCAAAGAACGTTTGGAGGGGATGTTTTCCTTGCAAGCACAGGAAAAAATTCCTGGGAGTCAGGGATCACTCTTTTTGCTTAGTGTGCCACTTTTCAAATGTTACAGGGAGAAGTCTCAGAAATATTTTTAAGGGGGAACTTGGCTAATTTATTAGAAAAATTATACAATGTGGTTGCAAGTCGTAGCTGGAAACTGGAATCTGTAACCCAGGAAATCACATCCAGCTCTATACTTCTTCTTGTACTTGTGCAATAAATACCATTTTCCCAAGCCTTTGTAAAGCTGGCACTTCTAAGTTCATCCCCAGTGACATCGGCTGTGTGGAAGCCAGTGGCAAAAAGGGCAAGACTGGAAAATACAGCACCACGTGTTTGTACACTCAGATCTTATGACTAGACTAGATTCTTTCTGTCTGAGAGGGAATAATTTTCTCCAGAAGCATCACACCATTGAGATAGAATTAAAATGCAGCCAAGAAGTCAAAAGCTGATAGCAGAATGTATGGATTTGCACTGCATGGCTGCAGGTCCAGGCATGGGCATCGGCCACGTAAGCAGTTTCAGTCATGAGCTGGAGGGCAGACCCTGTGCCTCTGTGCGCTCCGGGCATCGCTGCCAGCGCACAGCGGCTCTAATGAGAAACTAACTCTTACCCAGATAACTCACTCCTTTGCGCTCACAGAGGAGGGTGGCAGATCCGGGCGAGTAATGCACCCCAAATGCCGCCATGGTGCGGTGGAGACCACGGACCACTGTGTTCTGCTGGCTGCAGCCCGGTGCTGAGCTGGAGAGAGGCAAGGCACAGAGGGGCTGTGCTGTGGAAAGGTGCCCCGTTCTGTGGACAAGCAACGTGGAGGCAGCGTCGTTCCTGCAAAATACACTGCAGGAGGGTGGCAGCCGCGGTGGGACAGCATTGCTGCTGCTGCTTCCACGGTCCCGCAGCTGGTGGGAGGGGTCCCTGCCCAGGGCAGGGGGTGGGACTGGATGGCCTTTAAGGTCCCTTCCAACCCAAACCACTCCGTGATTCTGTGATTCTATGATTTCAGCTGGGTTTAGGTGCAACAGAGCAGCACTGATGGAGTGCTGAGACTGCACAGGAACAGCAATGCAGTGTCCCCAGCCAGGATGGGTGAGAGCCAACAGCAGCAATAGCTTTGCCTTGAACACAGCCCCTCTGTGTACAGGACATGTCACAATACAGACAGTAACACCAGTAAAGTCTGCAAAACTGCTGGAAGTGAAGGATTAACATCAGAGAGAGTCAGGAGGGGCAAGACCTCAGGGTGAGAGCGTGTTCACCTGGAGCTCCTTGGCTCTCTTGCTGCATTTCCTGGTTCTCGTGATGTTAATTGTGCAACTTCCACCCCAAATGAATGCAAGTTTTCTACATTTAGCACCAGAGGTCTTTTTAAGGAAAATGGGAGGGATTTTTGTGAAAGAGACACTGAGGTTACAAGACAGTGACAAAGCTGAAGGTGGGCATATTTTATCTTAACTTCACAAAATTTCTACTGTTCTAATGTAAGTCGTTCCACATAGTTATCCCTGGCCTACAAAATGCTGACTGGGAGCTACTGGAGTGCTGTAGCCACTGCTTTTCACCATAAGCAACCCTGCGCCTGTCTCCATTTCTCTCTTGTCCTAAGCCACAGCTGGATCACAAGTGACTTTCAGCAGCAACACTCGCTTAAATAGTTCCTGTCCAATGCCCTGGTCCTGGCTGCTCCCTTTGTCAATGCCACTGCTGCGTGGATACAACCACGCACATCTGCAGTGTAAATCAGACCAGTGATGACTCCGGGTTAAAAATAATCCCTGTCAGGTGCAAGCTTTCTGCTGTTCTTTTTTAAATCTGAGATGAGTGCCCTCATCCAGCTCTCGGAGCAGCGGTGTAGGCAAGATGCGGCAGAGCAAAGCCGGGGGGAGCAAGCAGACAGAAACTGGACATGCCACATCGCCTCCAAAGCCCGTTTTATCCAAGCGGAGACTCGCATGAAGTGGCGCTTCCCGGCAGCGTGAGCTGCTGCAGTCGCACGTCGCAGGTGGTGGTCCCGCCTGCCAGCAGTGTGGGTGTCCGCAGACCTTGCAGGCAGAGATTTGCTGAGGAGGGGTGTTCTTCCCGGGGGCTCTCAGCTGTCTGAGCCCCCCAAACTGGCCGGTCTGCGTCCCCAGCCACAGCACAAGGCAGGGTCACGGGAGATGGGGGCGCAGCATCCATCACCCAAACGAACCCAGACTGCCCCAGAACCGTGTCCTAAGATCATGAATTGGAGCAGACACTCTTTTGGTCAGCTCTTTGTTATAGTACCTAGCTCTGCACGTGGCGATTCATCGGTAGGTGTCACATTAACTATACAAATAAGAAACAACGATATGCAGCAATTATTATTGTTACCAAGCACCAGGGCCGGTTAATAATTCCCGGTTAGGAAGTTACAGACTTCATCAGCACAGCCAATGCCAGCCTTGAGCCATTCGGAACGGCTCCAGGGCGCTGGGCTGTGCTGGCCCTCGGTCGGGCTCACCCCCTGCACCCGGGGACGACCCTGCGTCCATACTGGGACCAGCACAACGGGAGATGGTCTGCAGGCGACGGGTCAGCAGTGCTGCTGTGACGTGAGGAATTTTTCTACTATGTCTTGTTTTTCACTTTTCCCATTGTGAAAGTACGTCAGAAGTTTTCTTTGGGGCTTTTAGAGTTAGAATTAAGAGACTTTTGGGTAGAGGCCAAGTCTGGGGAGGCGTATACCAAAAATGGCTACCTGGGAAAGCTTTGATCCAACAGGAGGGGAGGGTTGGAGATATATATATATATATATATATATACACACTATATTGAAATCTGTGTTCCAAAAAAGAGCTAAGAATATCAAAGCAATTTTTTTTTTTTTTTTTAGAATTGTATTTGGTTTTGGCATTCAGAGATACAAGAATAACTGGTTCCCATATAGGCAAAACAGAGATGGGGAAGAGTTTGAGGAGACAGTGAAGACTGGTGCTCAAAACCTTCAGCCATGCGCTCTCACTGACGCGCACAGCACAGCAGGGCCTTTCACAGCAGGTAAATGTATTACTGCTCCAGATCAAATGGAGCAAAGTGAGTCAGCTTTTTTTGTAGCCTCTGGCCTAAATCTTTTTATAGGGCTTGTGATGCCTTTGGGCTTGTGCCCCCGCTCAGGGGGCTCTGGGTCTGCAGGGCTGAGCTCCTGTTGCTGGATCTCAGCCCACTTCCATGGACAGCCCCCACGGTGCGGGGCGGCTGCCGGGAGAACCGCGGCGTTCCAGGGACCCCGACGTTTCTGGAGGAACGGCAGAAGGATGACCAAGAGCCTCTGATGGAGTTCGCAGTTTCAGTGTTAAATAACACTCGCTCACGGCAGTTGAGGGGGGCAGGACTCATTCCAGAACTATTAATATAGCCCCTATTTATACTCATAGGCTCCTGCGAACAGCGCAGCAGAGAGCTACAGCTGCAGGGCTAAAATGGAATAAATGTCAGCCTCCAGGGAGAAAGTGATCCTTTCAGCCACCGTGCGGAAAGGAGACGGTGAAAGGACAGAACACGGCGGAGGTCTCAGACCCAAGCGAGCGGAGCGAGCGGACGGCAGCACCCTGAGATTGCAGCCAGTGGGCAGAGCCAGGCAGTAACCTCCCTTCAGCCGGCAAGTCTGCGCCGAGAGGCTGCCAGAAACGCACACTCAGCGTCACACGCAGCACCTACCGACACGGGGAGAGACAAGGCGGGGATTCGAGCTGCCGCTCTCCTGATCCAGTACCAGGTGTGACTCAGGATAAAGCAGCAAAACCCTGGAAGGACGTTTTGGGGGGGCTTTAAGTGGATTGTCTGCTGGACTGGAAAGATGATGGAGAGCACGGGAGGGCCGTATCTGAACACTGCTGCAGTGACATCCCCTGTGGGAATAGCTCGTTTGCTGCAGATGACGTTTGGATGCGCCACGTTCAGCCTGGTGGCCCACCAGGGGGGATTCAGCGCAGCATATGGCACTTTCTGCATGTTTGTCTGGACCTTCTGTTTCGCTATCACCGTCTTCATCATCACCTGCGAATTCACGCACCTGCACAGCTGCCTGAGCATTTCCTGGGGGAACTTCACCGCTGCTTTTGCCATGCTCGCCACGCTCATGTCTGTCACGGCGGCGGTGATCTACCCGCTCTACTTTGTCCAGCTCGGCTGTTACCCCATCGGCTGTGAGGTGAGAGACTTTCGCATCGCAGCCAGTGTCTTCGCAGGCCTCCTGTTCGTTGCGTACGCCGCTGAGGTGTTCTTAACCAGGGCAAAACCGGGACAAGTCACCAGCTACATGGCCACCGTCTCGGGGCTCCTGAAAATTGTGCAGGCCTTCGTGGCCTGCATCATCTTTGGGGCACTGGTGAACGACAGCCAGTATAGCAAATACGTGGCGACGCAGTGGTGTGTGGCCGTCTACAGCTTTTGCTTTGTGGTGACTGTGGTGGTAGTGGCCTTCAGCGTCACAGGTAAGACTGCCTTGCTGTGGTTCCCCTTCGAGCGCTCCGTGGTCATCTACACCTTCGGGGCTGTGCTGCTCTACGTGAGCGCAGCCGTCATCTGGCCGGTGTTCTGCTTTGACAGCAAGTACGGCTCCCCGCAGCGCCCCGGCCTCTGCGCCAAGGGCAGGTGCCCCTGGGACAGCCAGCTGGTGATTGCCATCTTCACCTACGTGAACCTGCTGCTCTACGTTGTGGACCTGGCGTACTCCCAGCGCATCCGCTTCATCTCACACCTCTGAAACACGGCTCTGCCGCTGCAAAGCCGTCCCCGCACCGTAAGCAACAGCGGTTGGGGATGTGGGAAGGGAGGCGCTGATCAGGCACACATGCAAGAACCATCAACCAAACTTCAAGGTCAAGAATGACCGGAGCAGCAAATTAACGACCTGTAGCTGTGGCTGATGCTGGGAAAAGCCCATGTCCCCCATTGTCCAACACCTGCCTCAGCTGCCTGGTGCCAGAGAAGAGAAACGATGCAGCTCAAAATATGCAAAAGGACCTTTCATCTCCGGGCCGCAGAAACAGTTGCTGCAACAGCGGGTCTGCAGGCTACCAGATTGCCGAGCCAAATATTAGGAAAGGCACCAAGGATTTTGAAACTCTTACCAACGCTTAACCGTAATCAAGTGACTACCCAGGAAGTGGGAAAGTTAAAAGCTGCATCAAGGAACACCAGTTCTGGGGATGAAAAACAATCTCTCAGAGTCTGGGTTAGTTTGGGCTGTGTGGTGAGACGTGAAATGCTTGCAACTGTGGGAAATTCCAGTCGGGATGTTTCTGAGAAGAACATCATAGCTATAATAGTATTCTGAAGATTACCAGTCCTTTCCCTTCCTCTCCTCTCCCTCGCTGTTTAGCACAGAAAAAGAATATCCTCAAGCACGCACCTTGGGGGGAAGCATGGGATATTCCTATTTAGCAAACACTGAGTCATTACAGAAATGAAAATTTGCGAAATCAGGGCTTTACTGCCAAGAAACAGGGTGCAGAACAGAGCCGAGCTGCAAAATAACCATGTGTAACTTGACATCCTCGCTCGAGCAGGACCAGAAGGTACCTTGGCATGTGCTTTGTCTCCGTTCATACGCCACCGTTTCTTTGTACTGCTGTCAAGAATTCTTTTTCTGGAAGCTTAAAGATAAATTCTGGGGGGAGGAGGGAAGGGATGCAGAGATGAATTGATCTCACAGCACTGCATAAAAGACCAAATCGGGGGAGCGGGGGGCACAGATGAGATGGGACGTGACAAAACTTGCGTACAATGGTAACAAATGGGGAGCGCTGCCTCAGACCAGGCTCTGGGATTCCCGAGCTCTCTGCGTCACCACCGGGCTGCATTTCTCTGACCCATCCCTGACAAAACACCCACTTTGAAGTCCTACACTGCATAGCTCAGATTTCAGGCTTAATAGGAAGAAATGTTCTTCGTCTCTGATCCAGGGAGAAACCAAAGCAGTCTGAGTACTTGTGCAGAAAGCATGCAGACTAGATAGATTTGATTAAAATCTAAAGTAGCTGACTGTCAGAAGCAAGATTTATTTTTTAACCGAATCAAAATAAAGCTGAATGGCAGACTTACATACTGCCTCTCCAGAGATTTGTATACTTGCATCTCACACAGCTTTCGTTTCACCAGGTATAGCCCTCTGCTTTGTGCCAGAAAGCATGGCTCAGTTTATTTTGATGTATGAACCCTGAACGCAGCCCCAAAAAGGTGTATAGACAAGACAGCCAAGGCCTCTGACTGACATTCTTTGTAGCAGAGTCACTCAGGAAAAAGGAAGAAAACTTACTTTTCATCAGTGCTTTGTATGTGGTTTGAAAAGCAAAGGAAAAAATTGCTTGGACAGATTGCATTGGATAATTCCGCTACCGAAAGTAGCAGTGGTAATTATTAGCCCATGGAACAGGTCAAGAATCAGTATCCAGCATAAAGAGAATGCGGTAAACAGCCTTCCAAGGGCTTCTTCACTTCCGCATGTCCCCATTAAGGGCAGAAGTCTGGATGACAATGGTCTGACCAGAGGCAGGCCAGCTCGTTCTAGGGCAAGACCCAAAACTATCTGCTATAGATATGAATCAGGGTATGAGAGAGCTCTATTTCTTGCCACCCAAACAAATTGAGGGGTTATACAAGTAAGAAATGCTAACTTGGGGAAAAAAATCCGTTTCTATTGCAGGAGGCAGTGTACCCAAAGAGAGGTACTTTTGCACACGAAAGTAACCTTGAGCATTTACGATATATTCTTTTTAAATCTGTCAAGCTGGACAAATTAAGCTGTGTCACACCTGAAAATTACTTTTTTTTTTTTAATTACAGAACACTATAAATATCAAATAGGTGACTGTGAACCATCACGGCTTCTGTTATAAAACTCAAACCTGCAAACCCAGGAACGTTGCTTTGCGGAAGCCCCTTCCTCCAGACACCGGAGCGGCCCTGGGGGGCTGTCGGAGGCCCCAGAGAGCCCCGTGGGCAGCGGCTGCCTCTCCCGACACCACACTGCGTCTTTCAGGCAGTGAAGTCTGTCGGAAAGCTCCTCAGCTGGTTAACATTTTTTTCAGCTATGCATTCACTTGCTTTTTGCTGTGAAGAGTTTGCACCAAGTAGGAGCAATTAGCAGGAATATGGTAAAATCTGCTCATGACACAAGTTGATGCAACTTACGCAGTGCCAGGGACATAAAGAAAGACCCAAGAGAAACAGGTAACTGGGAAACAATGGGGGTAAAATTTAGTGCCTTCACAATAAGGAGGAAATAGTATTTGACATGGAAATCATGATCCCACTGACTGGAGGAGTGGAAAGACAAGTCATTGCCAAGAACAGTGTGTTCAGATTTAGCATTCTCATCTGCCAGCCAAAGACTGAGCAAAAAATGTTAGCATGGTCAAAATGGCAAAAAAAAAGATTGTGTGGACAACAATCCACTCTTTTAGGAAGGGAAAGAAAAAGAAAAAAAATCAAAACCTCATGCTTCAGTGGTTAAAACACTCACTTAGCAGTGGAAACTATGAGATTACCCAATCTAGTACAGAGAACATCCGATATCTGCTTAATATGATTTTAACAACCCACCCTGTCATGATCCAGTTAATTAAAACCCCCTTTATTTGCAGAGCTCATCTTTCCCCTTAATTAATAAATCAAGTAACGTCTTCTGCCATAAAAGTCTTCCGAAGACACCAATCATTCTCACCTTTTTTGGTAAACTAATGTCAAAATGTACATCCTTTAATTTAGAATTACAGATTTGTGTTTGCAAACAACCTAGACAGCTCCTAGAGGATCCCAACCCAAATATGTATCTATATGTATATATATGAAAACCTGAATCTTTAATGGATTTGGGTTTGGTTTCATTCTTTTTTCTGTTTGTTTTCCTCTGTCTGAAGATTGGGATTCAGTGTCCCCAGAAGAAAATGTTTAGGAATGTTCACCCACAGGAGATACACCGAGATTTATTTATATCAAGAAAAAAGCCAGAGGAGAGGAAAAAACTGAACTGGCGTGGTGAGACTGCGTTTAGGCCAACAGGCGCTGCCTGGCGCCCGCGTTTTATCGGGACCCCTCTCCCGACGCCTCCGTCTTCCGCAGTGCTCCCTCCAGCGCCGCCACCCC